GATGCCAGCAGAGGTAGGGCTGCCTCTCCTTAGATCTGGTTACAGCACGTCAGGACCCTGCAGAAAAAAAGGAGAACACAATATGTGAGTGTGGGCTTTGAGCACTCGTTCATTCTAACACCATTCTGAGCCTGTTTTCCTCAGGGCAGGGCTGTCCCCACCTCTGTGCCCTGTGACAGTGACTGGCAGGGGGTGACACAACCGGGGAGGCTGCAGCAATGCAGGGGAATTAGTAAAATTCAGTGTGTGAGTTGGAATCACATTAAAGATTAATGTGTAGTCCTAGCATCTGTTCCTCCTTTGTAGGATATCTGCACTTTTAATTTTTAAGCATGTCTTAGCCTCAGCCTGGGAAGAGAGATACTATAACCAAGAGTATATACATTATTAACCTTCAAGCTTCCAGCTTGAGTCAGCTCCTGCAGCCTCTAAGATTCCAGTTTCTGAACAAGCAGATGAGCACCCACCACCCTGTCTGCACCACTGGCCCCATCCTGGATGGAGCTGATTCCAGGGCAGTTTTAAAACAGCAGGTGGAGGTGCTTGCTTATTTCAGTAGTTGGTAATTAATATACAGTGCTTATACCAACTCATCAAAGATCACTGGTGCCTGCAATGTAATCTCCAGGAAGATACAGTTTCTAGTTCTTATCTTGGAAAAGTGGCCACTAAGTATATGCAGGTACCATAGGACAAAGTTCCTGACTCCCAGTAAATTATTCATGGTGTTCTATTCGGGTGAGGACCTAGCCTGGCTGCACAGTGTTCTGAAGGACCTTACACAAGTTCAAAGCCCTTTTTGAATGGTTTAGCTGGAATAATTGTTAACAGCTGACTTGAACAGCATTCAAGATGGAAACCCAGGTAACTTTAATTGTTAGTGGCTATGGTGATAGATGTCTTGCAGCTAGCTGGAGATGGAGTTCCATATGGCATTTCTGTTAACTGCATTAGTAAATATTGAATGGCATGTTTCTATAGGCTGGATAATGATATAATGATTTTGAAATACTAATTTTATAAAGCACACAACTGATATAATTCAGTCACAAATATATAGACTCATTTCAGAAGCTTCATGGTGCAGAACATGCTGTGTTTCCCTGGGGCAGTGTGCCTGCAGCAGGGGGAGGGCTCCTATCCTTGGTACCTCTGTCTTCAAAGCTGTTCACTTTTCTCCTGGCTAATTTAATTTAGTGGACTTTAACAAAGACATTTCTTGGAAGCTGTGGCTGGGCTGACATCGCACTTGCATGCTAATGAAGTCTTGATGACACATGGAACCCCAGGATCAAACCAGCTACTTTTTTTCCAACAAGATATTAAGATTCAAAGTTTTTAAGAGCTCTTGCAGTTCAGGTGCAGGTTTCTCGGTGTCCGCTGGTGACTTTCTCTTGCCATAGCCTGTAGCAAAACTTCCAGGGGGAATTCTGTAAGACTGGACAGCAGTGCTGCCTCACTGACACAGGCTGCTTCTGGAACAGCCCAGGTCAGTCTGGGAATGCTCAGGGAGCTGTGCAGCTGGCCTGGTGGGCACTGCTCCCAGCCCTGCTGTGCCACTCTGCCAATCTCCATCAGGGCTCATCCCAAAACCTGCTGGTGGTTTTTGTAGGACAGACATCTGGGTAACCTTGACATTCATGATCCAGAGCTGACTTGTAGGCAGATGAATGCCAGGGTGAAATTCTGTGATCCCCTTGGCAAACATTCCACTTGCTGCAAAATAACTTGCTTAATCCTCTGCTTCTTTACTGAGCATCAGTGTGTGGAGACCTGCTGAGGGGAGAGGTCTTTGTGCCTCCTTTTCCCCTCTTCCCCACAGAAAATCCGTGTCTGTGCTTGGCAGGGACAGCAGAGTTCCCACTCTCAGTGCATCTCCTGGAAGTGGGTTGAGGTGCTGTCCTTGCAGGAGCCGTGGGTGAAAAGCTTCACAGGGACCTGCTGGGTGGGGTGATGGGGCTGGAGAGAGTCAGCTGGGCACGTGGGGAGAGGGAGGCCCTTGGTGGCGGGGGGTGAGGAAGGAGGGACAGGAGGGTGAGGAAGGAGGGACAGGAGGGTGAGGAAGGAGGGATAGGAGGGCTGAGGAAGGAGGGACAGGAGGGTGAGGAAGGAGGGACAGAAGAGGTGCTGAGGCAGAGGTGGGCAGCGTGGAGCAGAGGTGGGAGCTGGGCTGGAGCTCTGCAGCCGGCACCGCGCAGACCAGATGCCAGAGCTGGATGCTGAAGCCCAGGAGAAGTGAGCCCATCATCCCCAGATGAAAGGTGACAGAGGAAGAAGGTAACAGAGCATTTGAGCTGCACATTCTGAGTCAGAGAAGTACAGTGACCACGGGCAAGGCAGGGGATTTAATTTTTAATCGGTCATAATTCATCTTATGTCTGGTGAGAAGACAGCAAAAGGAAGTGATAGTGGTTTTGTTTCGATGTGTCACAGCACCAGAGAGAGGGAGATAAAGGGGAGTGTTTTGGTGAGCTGAGGTGCTGACTGCTGAGCAGGGTGTGGGTGTGGGTGTGTGTGTGGGTGTGTGGGTGGGTGTGTGTGTGTGCAGTGCAACAGTCCCGCTACGTCCTCGGGAGTGTTAATTATTGCATGGAAGGGTTTTTAGCTTGCATGCAATGTTCAGGGCTGCTGCTCAACACTGTGGTCTGGCTGCAGCAGAGCTCCTGCCTCAGTGATCCAAGCTTAAGCAGAAACGTAAGGATAATCCATGGGATGTGATAGATGCCTTTCCACTGAGGCTTCTAACTGATACAGGAATGAGAGAGTTTCTTTCAGTAATAGTTGTGTAAGGCTTGAAAAGAATTAATCCTCAGGAAAAACAAAAACAAACAAACAAAAAACCCGAAACAACTTTATTTTAACCAATTTTTAAAAGATTTAAGTCTTACCTTTCCCTTTTAATGTGTTTTGTTTTGTTTTTTGACATATCCAGGCTAACTAACAGCTTTTAGCAGCCAGGGGCTTTTGCAACTTGTCTGTGAAAGTTTTCCTTTCCACTGCTGTACTACATGACAAATATTGAAATCAATTACAGCTATCAGACAAAAAAAAACCCAAACAGCCAAACCAAACAAAAAAAAAAACCCTAAACCCCAATGCTCAAAGAAAAACTCATTTGCTCTTGTCAGAGAGGCCCATGCAGCTTCTTTGGCCCTGCTGATGTTAAACCTGCTCCTTCTTCATTTGTCCTCCCAGGAAAACCCAGCTGGGACCCAGATTTCTCATTTCAGAACACCCAGAGCAGCATTACCCTGCTCCTTCTCCTCAGCTTGTTCTTTTGAAGGTCATCTTTAAAGGCCATGAAATCAGCCCAGTAATCCCAATAGGATCCCTGGGTAATTCCTCAGGCAGTGGCCTTTGTGTATCCTCACCCTGTGTTTCACCAGCTCCGGAGCTCTGGTGTGACAGTGCTGGGGTGTCCCCAGGCCCTCTGGAACACCAGTGGCCCTTTGTTCATAGGACAGTTTATTAACTGGTCATAATCTGCTGGGGACAGAAGCAACACCCTCCTATTTGCTAAACCTTGAATTCTGGGTTAGCAAAAGAGCTGCAAGGGCTGCAGGAATTTTTCCCTAAGATCCAGCTTTGTCTCCTGTCAGTCTGGAAGTGGCAGGGCTGGGGCAACACGAGGCTCCTCGGGGGGAGACGTGGGCATCTGCCCTGGAAATGGAGATTTTACTAACATAATGAAAGGCAAAACAAAGAAAACATTATCTACAGAGTGAGCTGCTGAGAAGCAAACAGCAACCTACATATGGTTCGGGCTTGGCACAGCCTTTATTTTTACCCTTAAGACAGGGCTCCCTGTGTGGTTATTTACTGTATTAATGACACGAGGCAGAATTACAGCAAACGGGCTGAGCACACTCATTACTGTGATAATTACGGTTGTTTCCTCCGAGGCTGGGCCAGCCGAGCCCTGAGCACAGCTCTGAACAGAGCCAGGGCTGCAGGGGAAGCCTGAGCCCTGCCTGGCCTCTCTGCTCTCCCCCTGCTGCTGCTTTTTTCCCACGTCCACTCTTTGCTCACCACCTGCCTGAAAGGAATCACACCGTTTGATTGCTGGGATAATTTCCATCCCCTGTAAATAGTCCTGTGTGAGAAGGGAAGCTCTTGCAGGGAAGACTTGCAGGTTCATAAAGGTGACACGTTTGTTTCCTCCAACCCCCCTGTTTTATTGTTTATATGCAAAGCACTTACTTCTGAATCACTGTAGTTATTTCTACTTCCACAAAAACCATTCAGCTTTCAGTATAAAATCCAAGATAGTAGATACTTATGGCCTTGTATGAATCTCTTTAAAAGAAAGTTGTAAATTGTACATAACTTTCAAGATGAGGGATATACACTTGAATAGTGACTGTGATTCTAACATGCACCTTCATCCAAGAGTTTCATATACTCTCCTAACAGGCATTACAGTGAAACACACCAGCACCTGCTGATGTATTTGTCTTATATTTGTTAGCCTGCAGTTCTGTAACCATCTCACTTCTGACACCAGTTACTTACACTACTTGATGAGGGTTTATAGAAACTTCCATATATTCTTTCTTCTTTTATCCTTGTTCAACACTAGTAATATAGTTTCACATAGAAAATGTCATGCTTCATTCTTAAATACTACTAGTATTTTAAACCAAAACTCCTTTTTTCTTTCACATGAGAGGAAAAATAAAGTGATTTTATGGCAGCTGCACCACAGTGGTTATTTTGTTAAGGATTAAGGCCTTGAATTGACTAATTCTTTGTTGCTCCTTTAAAACTTGCCTCCTCACTTACCTGTTTTACCAGGTTTTCCCCATTTTGGATGATTACATCTCCCTGTGTCAGCCCTTCAGTAACCTTTTAACTATAAGAGCAAACAGCTGAGTCAGCTCTGCCCTGGCAATATTTCATACACAGGGGGGTAGGTTTGTGTTGTAGAAGGTGAGGAAGGGGTTGGTTTTTTTTTTCCTCTTTCCTGCTTGGTTTGCTCTAGGCTCCCTTTTTGTAGCAACATGGAAGGAGTGGGGGTAAGTACAGAGCTCTTTGTAAGGTTTTGTGTTAATGTGTGCTTTAAAATGAGAATTTCTGGCTAAGTAGGGAGAGAGTCCTGGGGGGCAGGTGCCTGATTGCTGGTGTGTCAACAATTTGTCTTCCTTCTCGAAGGAAGAGAGGTAGAATGGTTTCTGGGGTGTTTTGGAGAGAATGTTGTGACCAAAGAAGGAGGAAAGGAGCTGACTTTCACCTGCTTGGAGAGGGATGTTTTTCCATTCAGTGGAAAGGGAGTTTGGAACATGCCCAGTAGAACACCTGGGGATGTGTATGTGGCTGCTGGAGGAGCCTTGAGCCTGGTGTAAAAAAATAAAGTAGAATAATTGCCCTTTAGTGACCCTGATGGGTGGGTCTTGCTGCACACAGAGTGCTGGAGACCCCATCACCACCTCTTTTGCTTGCTATGGAGTAAAAGGAACTTGGGTGATTTAAGGGGGATCACTGGGCTTCTTCCCTTTCCTCTTTCCTTGTTCCCCACTCCATTGGGGCTGCCTTTCCAGGCTCTGTTGAAGTATTTACTCTTGCCAGTAAATTTGCAACTGGATAATGAGTCTGTGCTGGCAGCCTCTGGGGATGCACCCTCTGAGTTCCTCCCACCTGCCTGCAAAGCTGCACTCTCAGCACCTGGTGCCAGGCCAAGCCTGACCAGCAGCCCCAGAGCAAGGGCAGGTTTTAAAGCAACGGGAACACTTGAGTGACCTTTGCTGTAACTCATGAGAATTAGACCTGGCACTGCAGCCTCTGCCAGTTGCTGCTTTGTAGCTGTTATCAAAGCAGCCCCTGTTTTTTGAGGGGCTCTGCTACAGGGATAAAGACTGACTTCTGGTATGAGAGCTTGAGTTGTAATCTTGGGTTGGGCTGCAATTCATTGCCCTGGGTGTTGTTCATCTTGTCTGCTTTCAGTTTTAACACGGACTTGTCACTTCCCTTGAGAGCAGTGACCACACAGGCCAAAGCTTCTCTGTGCTTTCTGATGGCCAAAGGATTTTATCATCAGGGCTTGTGTTGGAACACTTCTCTGGGAGCTGTGGTACCAATAAGTGTTTTATCTGTGGCCTTACTGTGTCCAGAAGGGTGTGTTTGGGTACAATTTTCCTCTAGTTCTCTCTCTGACTGTCTTGAAGATGTAAAACGTGTGTGTTCACCTCTGTTTCAATAAAGCTTAGCACTGTAGGGAGGGGTCATGCAGAGGGGCTTTGTTGTGGGTTTTTGTTGTCTATCTGGAATTTTGGCATAATAATGAAGAGTTGTGATTGAACACTTTGGTTTTCATGAAGTGTGAAACTTTGGTTTCCTAGATTTTGGAGCAAAATCAAGCTCTGGCTGATGCAGAAAGCATCTGAGCAAGGCATCTCTTTCTGTTCATCTGCAAGACTTTTGAATACGTCAACTTACTGGTGCTTGATGCTCCCCCTTTAATATATGGATGGTCACATAGTACAGGACTGCCCTTCCCTTTCCTACAAGTTGAATAAATCTTCTTTCTTTCTAGAAGCTCTAACTCTGAATGTTGTCTTTCCAGCTGAAAGTCCTGTGCTCTTAGCTCATGGATACATGTGATGCAGCTTATCAGCAATTTATGCTTTCCCATAAGGTGTCCTGCTTGGCAATTAATACAGATTCAGGAGTCACTAGGGAGCTGCCTCTGCTCCAGCAGCAGTAAATCCAAGCATGTCAGTGCTGAATTAAACTCTGGCATTTATATCTAAAGAGCAACGACTGAGAGGGAGAACAGTTCAGTGTGTTCTGGCCTGGCAGCATTTGTAGCTTGATTTTATAGTCTTAAACTTCTGAACGAGGCACAACTGCTGTCCTTGCTTGTCAGGCCACTGTGTCTGGGGTGCAGGGATGAGTGTGGGTGTCAGGCAGCAGCTCTGCTGGGGGCAAACCAAGCTAGAAAAGCAGGAGGACCCTTTCTAGCAGTTGCCACCATTCTGTCAATTATAAGGCTAAAAAGAAGTGGTTTACACTTCAGGTCAGGTGCCTGAATGCATCAGTGCCTGCTGACAGCTCCCTGTGACTCGGGAGCACTGGTGCAAACTGGAATCCCGGAGGTGAACTGGGAATTTTGGGGCAAGAAGGGCTGTTTATACTAACCTGGCCCCGAGGAGCAGGACCGCTGGCACCAGCCTAAAATTTGAGCTGCTCATATTAACCTGACAGGCAATTGTTTTTATTCAAGCCGACGTGCTGAATGGGACTCTCTTTAACGATATTCTTTACCTGTCTGATTGTGTTAAAGTGGGGAGAGGGGGAAGTTGAGGGGAGAGGGGGGTGGCAGGTGGGACCCTCCATGGGCACCGGTTTCGTGGCTCTCCCGGCGCAGCCGAGGGGAGACCCCGCCTGACAAGAAAGAGTTGCTAAGAACAAATCTCTATTGTTCCCCGTCATCTTTAAATGAGTGTCAAAGTAGGCAGGGGGGCTTTGACCGTTAACCGCACAATTTAGCCTGCCCGTTGTGTCCGGCAGCACCACCCCCCCCCTCCCAGCTCCTGGGATGAGAAAAGGCGGCCTCAGCCCCTTATAAATGGGCCAACTCTTCTCCTTTGTGTGCAGACTGCCCAGTGTGAAATCCGCAGTGACGTTAAATGTTTTCTAATGAATAATTACTGAAAGGAAATGGAGGAATATATGTGTAATGGATTGTAGCGCGTTAAAATGTTTTATTTTGGGCACAAAAATGTTGTCCTTCACCAGCGCCGCGATTGTTTCAGGAAGCCTTTTGTGGGGGTTGGATTCTCAATGGATTATCTGTGAGTGCTCGCATTTCCAATAGAAATCAAAAGGGCCCTTTGGCAAACTAATGTTTTTCAAAATGGCAGCCATGAAGCCCATTTAGTATTTAAAGTTTGGGTTTTAAAGAAATGTTTGAACTCTGGAGATTTTCTCACTTTTTTTTTCTTTCTTTTGATTTATGAAAGTGAAGTGGTTCACCTCGACCTCTCCTCTGTTGAGAAAGACAGACAGTCACCCTTTAACAAGTCTATAGCAGACTATGCCCTGGAGACAGACAAGAGGCCTCAAGAACTGTTGGCGTTTCCCTAGGCTCTTGATTAACCTTGAAACCCTCTTATTCTGTATTCTTTTGAAAAGAAATTAGGTTACAATGTGTAAATTTTTCTGCACTGTAATTGTATTTATGAATTCTCTTGCCTTGCAAAGTGCCTGTGGTACAGCAAGATGGCCCGAGTTCCTCCTTAAAGACCCAAAACATCACTTTTCTGCAGAGCTGCTGCTGTGTCTCCTAACCCAGTCGCTGTGTTGCAGTTTCACTCTAAGTGTGGAGGAGTTTTCCAGAGACAAGGGGGCCAGTCTGACTGAAAACATCTAAAAATGGTCTTGTCTCTCTGTTGCCTTTGCTCCAATTGAACAACTAACTTGGCCACTTGAGAAGATCTGGTCAGATTTAATCTGATTGATGCATGGCCCTGGTTTATCTGAAAATTACCCCCAAACAGATTAATTCTTACAAGCCACACTGAAGATTTTACAGTAGGTGGAAAGTATTTCCCTGCCACCCTGGGCTCACTGCTCTTCTTGGGTGGTGACATATTGCTCCAAAGTCCTACTGCCAAGCATAGAGCTCTTCCATGGTCTGGATTCTCTTTGGGGATGAGGGGATGGGGTCCTGCTCCTCCTGGAGCAGCAGTGGTGTGGACAGCTGCCTGCAGCCCCTTCCAGCAGCTCTACAGTCTTGACCTTGAGGTTCCTGCCAGAGTTGAGGGAAGAGACATGATTGTTGGGACCTGTCTGTGCTCTCCTGCCAAGCAGGCTCTTGCAGAACGTTGTTCTTGATGGCTTTGGATGCTCAAGTGCTCTCACTGCCCTTTTGGGCAACTCCTTTCAAGAGCCTCATGTGGAGCAGAGCCCAAGGGCTTTCCCTGGTGTGTTCCTGCAGTGCTGCTGGCTGGTTTTCAGGGCTCTTAATGAGCAAATTCCTGCAGCACACACGGGGTGCAGGGCTGGGTCAGGGGGCGCTGCCTCTGGCAGAAAACCGGTATTTCCAAAACAAGAGCCCTGACGTTTCTAAAGGGATCTGCATTAGCAGCCTTGCTCCAAGCCCATCTGTCCTGAGTGAGCCTGAGACTCCTCTCGTGTCTGCTTTAAATCTCCAGTCTGTTTAAAATCAGATATCTCTGGAGCTCTCTGCTCCCTGCCTTGGCCACAAGTTTTATTTGCTTACACCTCAGGGGTGTCTCAACAGAAGAACAGGCAAAAAGGCCATAAATGTTTGGGGTGGCTGCAGGTTCCCTGGGTTGCTGGAGACAGAGCTGAGCAAAGAGACTGAACTGTGCTTTAGGATCCCTGTGCCCAGCCTTAGAGAAGGTTCTGGGCTTTGGAGAGGGTGGGAAGGGGAAGCTTTTATGCAGAGATTATAACCCAGATGTGCTCTTTTTTGGTAACCATTATCTTTACCAAACATTGATTCAGTTGGGAAACAGGTGGTTCTAAATAAACTGTCTGTAAATCAGGTGTTTCTGCTCCTCTATAGGGGTAGAAATAATTGATATTTTAATTGTAACTTTTGAGTGTTCTTCATAACCAGTATTTATTTGCTGAGGATAAGTCAGAAATGCCTTTGCCCAAATCAGCTTCCTGGATGGCACTATCTGCCTGTTTTCCTCAATGAGATTGAGCCATGAAGTAAGAATCTTACCTGCTTGGTGCTGCTGAAAGACCAGGCAAAGGCACGTTGTGGTGCTTCCACCTCTGTATGCCCTGGTCTTGCTTTAGGAGAACACCTTCATTATTCACCAAGGCTGGACTTGGGTGGGAAGCTTCTTTACAGGATTGAAAGCATCATCTGGGGGCTGTTTGTGCTGCGGGGGGATCAGCAGCTCCCCAAAATGGGGGGGGCTTGTTCTGTTGGCAACTGTTGATGCAGAGAAACAATCATGGGAAAACACTTGCTGATGTGTTTGGGAGCCAGGGGCGGGGGAGAAGAGCTGGCATGGGACTGGCAGCCGGCAGAGACCAACCTGGAAAGTAGCTTTGCTGGGGAGAAACTCCCTGTTCCGTGTGAAAAGGGGGACAAACCGTGGCAACCCCAACCCGCGCGTGAAAGCGGGTTTTGCAGTGACCTCTAGTGGGGATCCCCCCGGCAGCCGCGGGGAGGGGGCGGTGGAGTTTTGAGCTTGGGTTTGCTCAAATTACCCATCAGAAAGGTCCGAGTCCGTCGCTTGGTCTTCAGACTCAGGACTGAGACCTTCAGTAAGATCTTAAAATTCCCCCCCCCAGCAGCGCTGCGGGCACAAACCTCAGCGCAGGCGGGTGCCGGCAGCGTTTGGATAATTCATTAAAGGAGGAGGATGTGTGAGCATCCCTGCCCAAGGAGGCAGGCAGCAAACAGCCCGACACATGATACTTGGTGTCAACGGGCCTTCACTTCAGCCCTGGTGACTCTTCGTGGAAGGAGGAGCTGCCGGGAGGTCGCACAGAGCTGGGGATGAAGCTAAAGCAGGAGGGGGTTGTGTGTGAAATAAAAACACTTCTGAATCTGTAGGGTGGTGGCAAGGAAACCCAGCATCTCTGGCAGGCTGGGATGGTTTGGAGGTGAGTGGAGGATCCCTGGGAAGATGAATTGTCTTGCTGGGAATTTGCTTTATGGTGAATCCAACACATCTGGTGGCTTGCATGGTATTTTGTTATAGAGAAGGGTGCTGGTCTGACTGGGTGGGTAAAGAGCTGCTTGAAAGGTAACCTGGGCAGATGGTGCCCACCTGAGGCTCTCAGCCTCTGTCTGTATTTGCATGTGTATTGTGGTTGGTTTGGGTTTTTCTAGTGCTGTCAGAAATAGTGGTATTGAAACTGATCCTTCTCTGTACATTCATCTCCTCTATCCTATGGTGTTAAACCAAAGAAACAGCAGCAATTAACTTTGGAGCCTGATGAAAAAATGAAGCTCTGAGCCCTTGGCAAAGATAAGTAATAATTTTACAAAGTTTTGGTTTTGTTTTTCTTTAAAAGAAAAGTTGCTTTCTAACTGTTCCTTGCCAAGCTTTGTTTGTTTTGTTACAAACTTTGTCAAAGAAACTGATCTGTTGCTCCTGACCTGATTTTGGCCCTTCTTCAAGAGCTGCACATCTCACCACTTTGTGTCGTGATCCACAGCAGCTCCTTGTAGTTTCAACAGTGATAGACAAATCCCTGTGGGAAAGAAAAAGCCCTCATTGTAGCCAGGGAGAGATTTTCTGATGGAGCTTGCATCTCAGTGGGCAAGAAAGAGATCTCCTGACTCCTAAGTGATGAGGAAAGGAAAAGAATCCTTTAAAAAGAGCAGCTTCTTGCTGGGGTAATGTTCCCTGGTGAGTCTGGGGGGGGTATCTCTTACTGATGGTGATGCCAGGGATGCACCAAACTTCTAGTAAACTTCCAGAAACAGGGCAGGGGACAGAGCAGTGAATGGCCCTGCAGGGATAAAGTACCTGCCCTCAGCAATAACAAAATACTGAGAGAATCTGAGCCCAAAGTAGCCCAGAAAAGAGTCTGGGATTTTTGTCTGACAGTGAAAAGTGTCATTTACCAATTAACATGTGAGTGAGAGAATTAGGTTAAGGAAACCTGATCAGGTGGCAGGGCACTGTGCTTTCAGGCTTATTCCTTTGTGCTTCTTAGCTTGGACAGAAGGCAAAAGTTTTTCATCCAGCTTGTCCTGAGTGCTTGCTCAGGAGGACAACCCAGCTGAAGTAGTTTATACTCTGTCTTCTAGAACAATGACAAACTAACTTGGTCAGACAGCCACTATGGTGACCAAACTGGAGTGGAAAAAATTAGTATCAGCTGGTTTGGGGGGAAAAATAAGGGGCAACAGTTCACATTGTGATAGGGTTGGAGTTCTGTCCTGCCTTTGGTCAATCTCAATTTAAAGTTTTTGCTTTAAATTATCTGTTTGCCCTGGTCCAGGGTATGTGTAGAACAAGGTGGGTTTCAGGATGGTTTTTAAAATTAATTCTGTGTGTGTGTCTTGAAAGTGAAGCTGCTCATATATTCTCTTTTAGTAATTCTTAAAAAAACCCCACCTGTTTTACCCTGGGAAAAAATCCAAGTGATTTCTTACTCAGACTGTCAGAAACTACTTGAAATAACTGACAACTGAAAGAAAACAACAGTTGAGAAAGGAAGGAGGCTTCATATGCCATAAGCCACAGGCAGCTGGAGGCAGTGGGTATAAAAGGCAGAAAAGTAATTACTTGATGTGAAGTTATTGCAGGTATGATGAATTTATTTTTAAACTATGATGGGGTTTAAATTGTGTGCTCTCAGCACATCTTTGTCTCTGGAGTGCTGTGGTGATGTGACTGCTGAATATGAACCTCAGAGCTCAGATCACTCAGTGAGACAGAGATGGGTGTCAAGAACAGGCTGTACTAAAAATGAGCCTGATGTTAGAATTCCTGGAGAAGAGCTGACTCTTCTGAGATTCCCTCAGCCATAGAGAATATCCTGCAGCTGGGTCCATTGCTCTTCATTTTAGTGAGACCCTGCTTCTAAAGCCACCAAACCTCAGTGTCCAAAGTGTCCTTTTCTTCTGCCAGTGCTATGCAGGCTGGTCCCAAAAGCCTTCCTCCAGAGCCAGGGTTTGCCAAGGCTTGGCAGCAACACCTCCCATTGGGCCTATTTACAATTTGCAAACCTGCTGCTTAAAAAATAAAAATAGAAAAAAATATGATGTGGCCCTGCATAAAGAGACCATCACTGTCCTTGAAATGCTTGTTCAACAACTTACACACAACTGCACAATCCTCTTGAGCAGTAGAGCAGCAAATTGTAAAATCCCCAACGTTGGGAAGGGCAGTGTGAGAACAGTGAGTGCTGGGCTTGTGTGCACAGCCCTGGGCCCAGGAGCTGCTGTGTCTCCAGCTTGTGGCTGCTCAGCCACTTTCTCTCCCCAAGCTTGCAAAGCCCAGGCAGAGGTGGTGTGTGTGCTAGGAAGGGTTTAACTGTTTCTCCAAATCACTGTTGGGTTGATCTTGTCAGCCTGGTGGCCTCATCACTCCCTGCTCAGGTGTCTCACTGGCATGTGGAGATACCTGCTGCCTGGGTCTGGAAGCTGGTCGCTGGTCGTGGTCTGGTCACGGGAGGCATGAGGAATAAAGAAGCAAACATGTGCAAACTACTACTGTAGGATTCATCTTTTTTTCCCTAAAAGTTGAGCCAAATACAGCCTTTTCTGGAGAATCTATATTTTTGCAGTTGCAAAACTGTATGAAGCAGTTGCAGGCAGCCTTAGGAGCAAACAGTTTGCCTGGTGTCTTCCACTGTTAACTTCACACTCTGTGCTTGCAACTGCTTGGTCTAGGCTGAGCTGATGGAGTGTCCCAGACTGTAACTGCATCTCTGGGGTGAGGTCTGTCTCAAACCACTGCTCCACGAGTGAGGGCTGCCTGGAAACCTGGCTATCACTCTCTGGAATGAGTCTCAGATGTTCTGACTGTATAAAGAATTCGGATGCAAGCTCACGTGGTATGAAATTCCCATCTTTGGGAAGGTGCTTATGTCAGTTTGGGTAACAACATTTTGTCATTATCTGTGCAAAGTTGATTTGGCCCCAGGTTATGGGGAAGAGCTTAGGGTCCCTGTCTGCCCTCTCCTAAATCTGTTTTGTGCAACTTTGAGTTGCAGAAGGAAGAAGTGGAAGATAACACTGATGCAAACATGGAAGGGGCTCTGATAGCCCGGGACAGAGTTGGGGTGCAGGACTTTGTGCTTCTGGACTCCTACACCAGTGAGAATGCTTTCATGAACAACCTGCGCAAGAGGTACCAGGAGAACCTCATCTATGTAAGTGTGGGTCGTGGGGCTCCTGTAGCCTAGAGCAGGTGAAGTGTCTCTGAGTGTGGCATGTGTATATATATGAATGTTGTCCATCTGGATGGGATGCAAACTAAACCTGCAGGGGCAGGAGGCCCAACCAATACATGGAAAACTCTCCTAGCTTTGGTTTCACTCTGCTCTGAGACAATAACCTTGTTAGATGTTAATAGTACTCAGCAGAGAGATCACCCAGCAGTGACCACTTCAGCTAATGAAATTAATAGCCTGGGGCTGCTCAGAGCTGCCTTACCAAGATCCCAACAACCTGCAGCAGAGAGCATTTCACTGTCCTGTTCCCTTTCTGCCTTGGGAGGCAAGGCAGTGCTGAGCCCGTGCCTGGCTTGTGGGAGAGGTGCTGAGCACTTCATGGTGCTGAATAAGATAACTTCACAGCCGTGTTGTTCTGGCACAATGTCCTGATGCCCTTGGTCCCTCTGGGAGCTGTGAGGGTTTCCCACTCATGTGCATTCTTTCCTCCCTGCAGACATACATTGGAACTCTTCTTGTGTCTGTCAACCCTTACAAGGAGCTGGATATCTACACCCTGACACAGATGCGCCTTTATCGGGGGGTAAACTTTTTTGAACTGCCACCACATCTGTAAGTAGAACCCTTGGGATTTCAGTTCCTATCAAAACCTCAGATTTTCTCTGCACTGCTGTGTATCAGCAACAAGGATGTGTGTCCACAGCCACTAGGTCTGGTGAATGCTGGTATTCACAGCTGCCTGTAGGTAAGGATGTGTTTGTCTTCCGAATGACTGTGAGAATACAAGGGGAACAAAAGGACCATAGAAGTGATATAGGGAAGAGTTATCTGGAAGATAATTGTCCAAACTGGTGCTCGGTGTGACCTCCTTACTACATGTGGTCTAGCCAGACCACTGCCTGGCTATCTGTGTACAAGTCAACACCAGGAGGTGTTGGGTCATTTGCTGAATAGGTTTTTTTTGTGGTTTGTTTGTTTGTTTGTTCCTTAAGTGTTGTATTGGGGAAGGCTCCACTATTGGTTGTCTTTGTATCTGTCTCTACCAGCAGAAGTGAAGATCTGCCCTTTACTGGCAGCTAAACTGGCTCCTCTGCTTTGGAAGAGGGAGTCCCTGTTGTGCATGAACTGTATTCCCCAGGAATACAGGCAGGCTGTACAAATCCTATGGTGACAGGGGGGAAATAACAGGCCCTGCCCATCTCTCAGATACAGACTGAGTTTCTACTGTGAGACCTTGAGTCAGACCCAGGTTTTGGGATGTGCTTTCTCATAGTGTACAATGCTGGTCATGTTAGACAAGGAGTTAGCAGTTCTGAAAAGCCTTTGATTCTCTGCCTCCTGCTGCCGTTCCTAACGGACCCTTCTCCTCTGAATGTCTCTTGTGGTCCTGCTCAGATATGCCATAGCTGACAATGCCTACAGGGTGATGTGCAGTGAGTACAACAACCACTTCATCCTCATCTCGGGGGAGAGTGGGGCTGGGAAGACAGAAGCCTCCAAGAAGATCTTGCAGTACTACGCAGTCACCTGCCCAACCACAGAGCAGCTGCAGATCGTCCGCGACCGGCTGCTGCTTTCCAACCCTGTGCTGGAGGTAAAACTGAACAGAGGCACGAAGGGCAGAAGAGCTGCTGTTGATGGCCACAACTCCAGCAGGCTTTGATGCCAGTCTGCACACCTGCACCCAGGAATGGCCTCCTGGTTTACATGGTTTTGTGCCTGCATACATAACATCAGTGATATATGTTATAATAGTGCTCCTTGGCAGTACAGCCTCTGAGAGAGTGGTTGGGATTTCATATCACTTCATCATCAGAAATTTGCACTTGGGTTTTATACTGGAGGAGAGCTGAAGCCTGGGAGTACAAGAGAACTGTGCAGCATACAGCAGTTCCTCCTGGTTGCAGTTATAGGTCAAACAAGAAAGGGGGATAATATTTCTAGTTGAATTCCACATTAAAGGTGAGGAAATGCATTGTTAGTTTAGAATCACAGAATCATTTAAGTTACAAAAGACCTTTAAAATCGAGTCCAGCTGTAGATCTAACACTGCCAAGTTTGTATTTCTTTAATCTCACTACACTCAGCAGCAGGGCTCAGCTGATGCAGCAATTTCTGGAGCTTTGCCCTACCAAGGGTGTCAGGTTCTCAGTGAGATGAGAAGTGACTTAATCTGTCTGTTCTTCCACAGGCTTTTGGAAATGCAAAAACTCTGCGTAATGACAACTCCAGCAGATTTGGGAAATACATGGATATCCAATTTGATTTTAAGGTGAGAACAAACTTAATGAACCATTATTAAACTGAGCTGTGTCAGTGAACTTCTTGGACACTTACCAGGCAGCACAGGATTTATGAAGACTCACAGTGCAGACTTTTGACCCTGTTTTTGCAGGCTTTGCATTTTGTGAGTAAAGTGACTAGTTATACACCCTGAAAGCTTCCTGTGTTACTGGCAATGCTGGGGAAAGTTACTATAAAATGGTTGTAAACTAGGAGTTGCACTAGGAAGAAAGCAAACTCTTTAGGTAGAGCTTGCACTGGTGTTGGATGCCTGGTCTCAAACACAAGAAGGCAGGTGAGCAACAGCAGAAACCTGTCCTGACACTGCTCCTTGTTCCTGGGTGTGGAGGAGCAGCCCTCACAGTGATGATATGTGTATCAGTGGTGTTGATCTGACTGTTTTTTTTCTGCCAGGGAGCTCCAGTGGGAGGGCACATCCTCAGTTACCTCATTGAGAAATCCCGAGTTGTCCATCAAAACCACGGAGAAAGGAATTTCCATATTTTCTACCAGTTATTGGAGGGTGGAGAGAAGGATCTTCTTTGCTGGCTGGGGCTGGAGCGCAATCCCCAGAAGTATGGGTATCTCATCCAGGTGGGTGGGATCTGGGCCCTCTCCCTGTGTCCTGCATCTCCAGGGGTTGTCAAGGCAGCTTCTCACATGCCAAGTGCAGAGCTGAGCTGCTGCCAGACCCGCTGTGTCACGTTACAGGGACACTGGCAGGCAGGCTGGTTGCACAGATACCTGCTGTGGGGTTATGGGACACTGTTCTATCCTGGGTGCTTTTGTAGCAGGAACTGTCCCACTGGGGTGGCCTAAGGATGCATGTGATAAGTGGCTCATAAGGGGTAATGTCTCATATTTAACCAGGTGATATTGTGGGCACAGAAACAAGCTTTTGGGCAGCATGACCCAGTGACAGCAAGGCCACCAGGAGTTTTAAAAAGTGACTTTCACCAGGCCTCATTAATTGGGTGCCCCCATGTTCTTGTGTGTGGGGAACAGCTTGCTGCTCCTGGGGGAGCTTCAACAGTAGGAAGGGAGTTTCTTGGGATTTATCGACCTGCTCTTAAGTGCCACCCACAGGTATGATTATGCAGGGCACAGCTCACTCTGTGGTAGTTCCAGGCTACATCTGTACAGGCTGAGGGGAGTGGAAATGAAAGTAGTGTGCCCAGTAGTGTGCTCTGTGGCTGAAAGTAAAATTGCTTTGCCAATTAATTGTACTAATTAGTCTTTCTTTCACTCCACAGGGTCGATGTGCCAAAGTGTTTTCTATTAATGACAAGAACGACTGGAAAATTGTCCGCAAAGCTTTTTCTATCATTGACTTCACTGAAAAAGATACAGAGGTATGAATGTTGGATACCATGTCCCATGGCAGGGCACTTGGATCCAGATGATCTTGAAGGTCCCTTCCAGCCCAAACCATTGTAGGATTCTGTGATAACAGGGACTGAGCCTATCAAGGGGAACTTAAGGAAGGTGGCAGTGCTGCCCTTGCTTGAAAGTGATGGCAGCAGTCCTGCTTGGAAGAGGTGTTAAGAATGGAATTGGACACATGTTGGGGGGGAAGGGGTGAAGAGCTCTATCCCTAGGCACAGTGTGATAGACTCTGGTGGCAGCACATCTTGGGGGGGGTTGTCTGACTTGCCTCTTTCAGCCCTGCTAATATTCTATTTATTACTGTGTGTAGGAAAGACTACACACCCAGTTTTCTCTGGGTGCCTGTTTTCTAACAGGGCATCTCTTGTTGTTAGCATCTCTTTGGAATTGTTGCCAGTGTGCTACACCTGGGGAACATCCAGTTTGAAGAGGACAGCAATGGCCACGCCATCATCCGCGACGGCACGCAGATCAAGTGGATCTCTAAGGTACCTCTTCTGAGGTGGTGCCACTATTACATGTGAAGAAAGCCTTAACCTGGCTGTGCTTTTCTCTTGAGGACAAAAACATCCATTCCCAAACATAGAAGGATTGCTACAGAAACACTCAGCTCCGGTTATAAACCATCTTGAATGGCAGGGCTTGTCTTCTGTAGCTCATCTCTCTGAAACTCCCTCAGTTTTGTTTCTCAAAGAGGAGTTCAGCTGGGAAAGGAATGGGGGCTTATGCTCCACTGATCACACCAAACTGCTTGTTTAAACAGTCCCCTGCTGGCCATGCTCTGAGTGCAGGTGTTTCTTCCCCTGCAGCTGCTGGGTGTGCACTTGTCCATCCTGCAGGAAGCCCTCACCAATCGGAAGATCGAAGCCCGGTCTGAGGAGGTATGGAGCAGTCCTGTGGGACCCAGGCAGCTGGGAGCTGTCCCACCTAGTGGTGGTGACAGATGAGGTGCTCTGTTCTTAGCAGTGTGGCAGTAAAACCAGATCACAGAGTCCCAGACTGGTTTGGGTTGGAGGGACCTTAAAGATCACCCAGTCCCAACTGCCCTGCCATGGGATGCTTCTCACTAGACCAGGCTGCTCCAAGCTGCATCCAGCCTGGCCTGGAACACTTCCAGGGATGTGATCACTCTGATTGTCTCTCCTCCTCCATATCACCTTCCTCTTCTAGCCTGAGATGTTAAACTAGAACATATTCCCAATATTGGAGTTTTACTGCTGAGCAAGGCAGTAACTGCAAAAAAAGGTAGAAACAGGGGCTTGGAGGCAGCCCGAGTTTGGGCCAAACAATTCCCTTTTGCTCAGCCCAGGAGTGCTTCCTGGGAAACTGGCTGCATAAACAGAGGAAAGCACTGGTTAAAATGGCTCTTTGGGAATTTTGTACCAAGTTTAATGAAAAGAAGCCAGAATATTTTCCCCACTTGTCTAAATCTGTCCTCTGCACAATGCAGTGTCCCATCCTGCTGGCTTGTGGCTACACCAGACTGGAGGCAAATCAAGTACTTGGGGCTGGGCTGTAAGGCAACATGGCTGGTTCTCCATGCCACGTGAGAGAGCTGTCTTTGCAGAAGATCATCTTTGGCATGTCTGTATTTTTAGGTCCTAAGCCCCCTGAACGTGGACCTGGCGTTCTATGCACGGGATGCAGTAGCCAAGGCCATTTATGGGCGAATGTTCACTTGGCTGGTCAACAAAATCAATGGCTCTCTGGCCAACCAGGTTGGTTTCTTGTCTGGTGTCCTCCTAGACACTGAGTGCTCTGAACAGGCTGAGCAGAGTTTCTCTGGTGAGGCCCTACAGGATGCTCCACCAAATATCTTGGATGCTTGATAATTGATGTAGGGGCATCCCCCAGCCTGGGCTGGAGAGCTGCTCAGCTGGGTGGGGAAGGTGCAATGCTACAGAGTTTGAGTAATTCATTACCTGCCTTTAAGTGGCTACTCTGACACATGACACAAAGCTCTCAAAGAAAAAGGTTTAAACCCAGGAGAAGGAAACAATAGGAAATGTGCAGGGAAGAAGCATCAGCTGCAGCAGCAATGACAGAGCAGTGGTGTCTTTACAGGATTCCACCCGGAAAACAGTGATTGGCCTGCTGGATATCTATGGTTTTGAAGTGCTGGACACAAACAGGTAACAGCTGCTCCTGAGGCTTGGGATGATCTATTCTCATGCTGGTGGGAGCATGTCCCAAAGTCCTACTTGGCTTCTTGTGTGTACTCTTATCCCAGCAAGGCAAGCTGCAGCTGACTGCCAAACCTGAGTGTGGTGGGTCAGCTGAACCCCTGGCGAAAGCTCCAGCTTGGACTTCCAGTGCAGCAGTGTGGGAGGAGTGTGTGGGTTTGGTCTGTAGAGAAGTGGGCTGGCTGGCAGGAAAAGGGCAGGTGGTGGTGGGAGAAGTAAAACTGTCCCTGAAATATGTAAAAAACTAATGCTTATGTAACCACTCTGAAGCTTTGAGCAGTTCTGCATTAATTACTGCAATGAGAAGCTCCAGCAGCTGCTGATTGAGATGACCTTGAAAGCAGAGCAGGAGGAATATGAACTGGAAGGAATAGAGGTAACTCCTTACATCACTCCCTTTTGTCTCTGAACTGCTATCACAGGGGGTGTTGTTGACCATCAGTGAAGAAGGCTCCCTGCTCTTTTCTTTCTCCAGCTTGCATTGCTCACGTGGCTCAAGTATAAGACAGCCATGGGTCTCATTCTGTAACCCTTCTGCAGTGTAATTTAGCCTAGGCTTAGCTTACATGACTTAAGAAGGGAGCAGGACCTTCCCCAAAACTCAAGAAGGTCAGCAAGGATATTGTCCCTCTAGAAATGAGGAGCTTCAACAATGTAGACACTGGAAGATGGAGGCTGTTAATGTAGGGAACAAGAGGATGGTCTGGGCTGCTGAAAGCAGGAAGATTGGTGTGGGGTGTTGGATCCCTGGGCTGTCACTCCCTCCCCAGCAGCTCAGTTGGTCCTGGTTTACCACTCTGATCTTTAGTGGAATTGGAGCCTGGCTCCTAAAAACTTAAAAATGGAAAAGAAAAAATCTTCCTCTAAAATAATTCTTTTTTTTTTTTTTTCCCTCTTCCAGTGGGAACCAATTCCATACTTCAACAACAAGATCATCTGTGACTTGGTTGAGCAGAAGCACAAAGGAATCATCTCCATTCTGGTAGGAACAGAGTTTGTGCTACTTAAATTAAAATACCTCCCTGTGTCCTCTCTGTGGTCCATAATCATAATGTTTCCCCTAATTATGTGAGACACTTGCATTATTCAGAGTGTAAACAAACAGACCTTGTAAGCAAAGACCCAGAAGATTAAGGCAGAGGTTCTGTTTGCTTGAGAGCTGTGGGTTTTAAAGGGAATGTGCTGCTTGCACAGCAACTCTGGGTGCTCAGGAGGCAGATCCAGGCTTTTCCCTCCACTGTTCACCTGGAGACACTGAGGCACAGCAGAAAGGCTCCTGCAGTGCCCCCACTGCCTGTAGGATGGGACCCAAGGTTTGTCCAGACTTGAGAGTCCTGCAAGTCCTCCTGGTTTTGGTGCCTAACAATGTCATCTTTCTCACTGGTTTTGTCTAAATGAGCTACAAATAATAAAGGATGGGGTGGAGATTTGCCAAACCTGGAAGACAGAGGTAGACATTTTATTTAACATGATGTATCTTGACAATTCTACTTAAAGCAGATGAACAAAGGTCTGAATTTAACTAGGAAACTGCTTGTATAAAATAGAACTCATCTCAAATGGTAACCAAGCTCTGTGGTTTTGCAACAAAAGTTGTACTAAAGGGAATAGTCTGTTCAAAACCATGTTTGATTCTGTGCCTGCTGTTCCAGGATGAGGAATGCTTAAGACCTGGTGAGGCCACTGATTTGAGCTTCTTGGAAAAGCTGGAAGAGAAAGTAGGAGATCATCCCCACTTCGTGACGTACGCACTTATGCTCCATGTCCTGCTGCAGAGGAAACTCTTCCCATCTCTTCCCTGTAGCAGAGTATTGGGGAGGGAACAATTTCTGCTTAGAGCCAAAGAAATTCAACCAGCTTCTCCACTGTCTAATGTTGCAGTGTGCTGTGCTGGTGGAATGTGGCCTGGGGTGCTGGGGATGTGTGTGTGTGTGGGGGATTCCTGTCTCTTCACTAGTGTGATGCTGATCTTTGAAGCATCCCATGGCCCAGTTAGGGACTAAAGGTTGAATAGCTTTGGCCCATGAAAGTTAGATGGCTTTGGCTAGGCAGAGGCACTGCAAAGAGGAGCCTGATGCCCCAGGCTGTGAGGGGTACATAAATGTTAAAGCCCATCTTAAGATGTGTGAGCTTTGAGTAGGAAGAGGCAAGAAACACGCTCAGAGCTCCCAGATGAGTGGTGTTTGGGTTAATACTCAGTTTGTAGCGTTTTTAGATTCGGTTTTGGTGGCAGATGAATGTGTTGGCTCTGGGCTGCTCTGGCAGCTCCCAGCAGGAGCCCACCCAGAGGCTTTGACAAGTCAGCAGTTCCCAGCCACGCTGCTCAGTTGTCACCATTTCTACATCTCTGAAGTTCGTCGCAGCCAAGTGGAAAATTTGTAGCCAACTTCCTTGTCACCACCACGTGCCTTAATGCTGTTCTGCCTGATTTAAAGCTTTAAATAGAAGTGCTAGAGCTGCTTAAATGGGATCTGTACTCAGTGATACTCCTGGAAGGGAATTTTGATGTATTAATGTGCTGTTGTGACACACAACTCTGCTGTTAGTGACTGCTTACAAAGCTGAAACTTAAACTGCTAAATTGCCCTTTTTTTTCCCCTTTTTTTTCTCTTCCCTCTAGGAACCCTTTTTTTTTTTCTAAAATTTTTGTTCTATACTTCAAAACTTTGATTCCTGCTCTATGTTTGTGTTCCTGTTCTGGGGCAAAATGCATAAAAAAAATTCATCCCCACGGTTTTAATTTTGAAACTGGGGAAGCTGGTGACCACCTTCTCATGTAGGCAACGAGAATGTATTTAAATGAATGTTCTGGGGAGAAATCTTCACACCCCTGGGAAGGGTGGGTGTTGCCAAATGACACAATGGGCAGGGATTCTGAGGAGTTTTTAGTAACTGGTTTCCATCCTGCAGCCCTGAATTTTGCTGCGAGCTGTTCAGAATGACCAGGGAGTTGATGATTTGATGATGGGCCGTAACTGTAACAGTCAGGACAGGCATGAAATAGACTCCCAGCTCTCCTACAGCTGCTTTTGGTGCTGGTGGCTTTCTGCAAGCTGAGGAAAGCTGTTTACTGCTCTTTGTCCTGGTGTTTCTTGCCTCCCCCCGCAGCCGCAAGCTGGCAGACCAGAGGACACGGAAATCCATTGACTGGGTGGATTTCCGGCTGCTCCACTACGCGGGAGAAGTCACCTACTGTGCTGTTGGTGAGTGGCAGCCAAGTGCCAGCCTGGAACTTGCCTTGGTTTTTAAGCCAACATGGTAGATGATAACTTGACATCAAGAGGAATTATAAATTCTCTGTCCTCTGAAGTTACTGTTGCTGGGAAGTTTTGAACAGGGATGCAATGAGATGTTGAGGATGCCTGGACTCAGCTGAGCAGTGAAGCCTCCAAAAGGATTAAATCTTCCCCCCCCTTTTTTTTTTCTTTAGGATTTTTGGAGAAGAATAATGACCTACTGTACAGAAACCTGAAAGAGGTACAAACAGAAAACGGATGCTGTTCTCTAAAGTTGCCTTGTTTGAAGTAGAAATAAGATGTATTTAATCTCTGTAGCAAACCAGAACCCAAGTTCCTCCCTAGCAGTGCTCAGGTGCCTGCATGTGCCTCCTCCCAGCAGAGCAGCAAGGCTGCTGAGGGTGGCAGCTTTTCACTGCTCCCCTTCCAGGTGCTGTGCAACTCCAAAAACAACATCATCAGAGACTGCTTCTTGCTGCCAGAGCTTGACAACAGGAGGAGACCAGAGACTGTGAGTTTCATCTTGAGTCTTAGCTGAACATAAACACAACTCCCCAAGTCTTGATTGAACCCTGATCTGCTCCTTAGTCCTGGACTCAGGGCTTCTCAGCTGGTGTCACATCCCTGCAAGCTCCCTGCGAGCTGAGCAGTGACATTGCTGAGCCAGCAGCTGACAAAGTGACATCCCTTAATGTTGTTATCACTGCATCCTTCTGAAAGGAGCCCTGTGCCCTCATCCAAGTGCAGTTAGTTTCTGCAGGGCTGCCTTGCATGTCCAGCTGCAGGGCTCAGATGTTCCAGCTGAGCACTCAGTCCTGGTGACTGATGGTTGGTTGGCTCTGCCTCAGAACCTCTGTGGGGCTGATGCCTGTGTCAGCCTCACACTGACAGCTTTGAGGTGGGAGCAGGGAACGAGGTGGTTTCAGTCACTGCAGTGATGAGCTCCACAGCTAGTAATGTTCTCTCAATGTCATCTTAGGTTGCAACCCAGTTCAAAAACAGCCTGACGAGCCTGATAGAAATCCTGATGTCCAAGGAGCCCTCTTATGTCCGCTGTATTAAACCAAATGAGAACAAGGAGCCTGGTAAGACAGTGGGCTGATGGCAGAGTTGAGATACTGGGGAAGAGAAAGCTCATGGGGGACTTCACAATGGGCTTCCAATACCTGAAAGGGGACAGGAAAGCTGGGGAGGGACTTTTTTCAAGAGCTTTTAGTGAGACAACAAGAGGTAATGGATAAGAATTGGAGGAGGGGAGACTGAAGTTAGACATTAGGAAGAAATTCCTTAGTGTGATGGTGGTGAGACACTGGAAAAGGCAGCCTAGGGAGGTTTTGGAAACCCCATCCCTGGAAGTGTTCAAGAGCAGGTTGGATGGGGCTTGGATCAGCCTGGGCTGGCAGGGGTTGAATCTAGATGATCTTTAAGGTCCCTTCCAAACCAAACCTTTCTGTGAAGTGAGGGAGACTTCAGCTGGTAGCTAGATACAGCACAAAAATATATTTTTATATATGTAAATAGATTATATAGTTATCTATTTATTTAGATAAAATAGGTGTTTCTATGTAGATAGATTATTATATACATATTTCTTCGCTAAGCAGCAAAACCATCACCTGGGGGAACTGTGGATTTGATTCCCTTCTTGAGGGAGCTCCCACAGGCAGCGTTCAGCAGTGCAGGTGTGTTCTCCCTGCAGGGAAGTTTGATGACTACCTGATCCGGCACCAGGTGAAGTACCTGGGGCTGATGGAGCACCTGCGGGTGCGACGCGCCGGCTTCGCCTACCGCCGCAAGTACGAGCTCTTCCTGCAGCGGTGAGTGGGCTGCTTGCCCAGCCACACCTGCCCTCAGCAGGGCTGGGTAAGTGTCCCAGCCATGGGAGATGTGGAGGTGCTTGGCAGACAGGTGTGTTTTAATCAGCTTTGGCATCTTCTGCCTTGGAGCAGTAGGAATTGGGGGTTGGGGGGTTTCAGGAAGGGGTTCCTCAAACCTTGTCGTGTGTGTTGATGTCTTGCTGATCTCTCAGGTACAAGTGCCTGTGTCCAGCTACCTGGCCACACTGGCATGGGCCAGCAGCTGAGGGTGTGGAGAGGCTCATCAAGCACATTGGTTACAAACCTGAAGAGTACAAATTAGGAAGGTAAATGTCCTTTCTCTGGCTGTGATCCCAGCAGCACGGTGCCTGCTATGTCTGACCCTTTGTCCTATCTGTCACTGCAGCCACCCTGTGGCCTTTCCTGATGAGTTGCAAGATGTAGTGGTGTGAACAGGTCCTTTTAGCTTGGCTGTTGCTTGACCATGTGAACTGGGCTGACCTACCTGGGTCTGCAAGCCTGATGGCTTCCAATTAGTGACTTCTTTAAAACAGGCCAAAGGAATGTCACCTCAGAGGAATACAGTGCACAGGAGCAAGGAGACAGATAAAAAGCCCAGATGCATAAATTTTGCCTTATCTTGCCATTTCCAGCTTGAATCCAGCTGAGTTGCTTCCATCTCTAGGCCAGGGGAGAGGGGCTGCCCTCTTCAGCTCCAGGTGCCCCTGTGTGCTTGGGCAGCTCTAGGCAACTTGACTGTTCTAGGCTTGGGTTCTTTTCCCAGCTGCCTTTTGCAGCCACTCCTGAACCACAACCTTGTCCTCCCTGCTGGAAACCAGGCATGGGAACCTGGGACCTTGTGCAGTAACTGGTGTTTTGCTTCCTCCCTTCTCCCTGTACCCTTCAGGATGTGCCAGCTAATCAGAAGGGGGGAGGTCAGGGAAGGAGATGTAACTTGTCAGCATTGCAGCCAGCTGGGGGACTGAGCCTGGTTAGGGCAGCTGAAATGATGGCTCACTGTGAATAACCTGTTTGTGGTCTCTTTTGCAGAACCAAAATATTCATTCGGTTCCCGAAGACCCTGTTTGCCACTGAGGATGCCTTTGAGTTCAGGAAGCACCTGCTGAGTATGGTTCCAGTCCCCTCTATCTGTGTGTAGACTAAGCCCCAGAGCCTGGGGGAGCTGTGCTCCTGGGCTCCATCCAGCTGAGACCCCTGATCCAAGGAAAACTTAGTCATCTTTTTCCAGAGAAATCCCTGGTTATATTGTTTGAGTTCAGAGCTCCTCAGGTCTGCTGGTCACTGCTGGTCCATGCTTGGGTGCACTAAGCATCCTTGTCCTGGGGCTGTGGCCATCATCCTGCTGTCACCTGTTTGTGCCTGCTGGATAAATGCAGGGGCTGCCTAAGGGCACAGTTACCCACACAGCTACTTGTGGTCCTGCTGGTGTTTTGGGACCTTTGCTCCTTGGTGATGGTGCAGACCCTCCTGTGCCTTGGCAGGTGGGGTCTGGTCCCTGGGGCACAGCTCACAAAAGCTCTGCTCCTGGAGATACAAGCTGTGTCTCTGCTCTTCTTTTTTTTTCTGCCAGTTTCAAGACTACAGGCCAAATACAAAGGATTCCTTGGGAAGAGAGAGTACTTGAAGAAGAGGGAAGCAGGTAGGGCTCTGGAATGGAGGGTTCCCTTCTCAGGGCTAAGCTTTCCAGCGGTTGCTGCAGCTTTGGGAGGTCAGGAATCCGCGCTGGCAGCTTCCTGTGAGTGCGGGGTGAGATGCAGGTGCCAGTTGCACGAAGAGCATTCACAGAGGTCCCTTTGGTCCCATTTAGCTCCTCCCAGCACCTGGTGTCACCCAGGCACAGCTCGGTGCAGCGGCAGCACCCTCTGCTGTGCGTGTGGGGATGTCCCGGGGGATCCCACCTCAGCCGCCGGGAAACAACCCCTCTCAGCCAGGGCCAGGCTGCCGGGCAGTGCTCAGGCTCCTGGGGCAGGAGCTGCAGGTTCTGTGCAGCCCAGCACTGCTCCCCGGGCAGCTCTGCACCCCAGGTACTGCCGGACAAGTTGTTACGGAAAAGAAAATGCTCTGAACTCCTTACTCTAAGGATCAGCTGATGGGAAGAGCTGCAAAAGAGCCTGTTGAGACCCCTGCTGTGTGAATGTAATGGGTGGTTTGGCTCAGGGTCCCTGATGCCAACCCCAGGGTCTGACTGATTCTTGCAGCAATCAAGCTGGAGTCCTGTTGGCGGGGAGAGCTGGCTCAGAGGGCAGCCAAGAGGAGGACGTGGGCAGTCCAGAAAATCAGGAAGTAACTATCCCTGTGTGGTGTCATGGGGAGGGTTGTGGGTGGTGGGTGACAGCCTGGTGATGGTCTCTGGACAATGAGTCCAGAGACTGACAGCTGAGTGAGTCAAAACCATCTCCTTCACATCCATTTCTAAGCTATAATTAGCAGGGCATTATAAAAGTTCAGACTTCCATTGCTGGGATGCAGGTGACAGTACCTGAGTCAGTGCTGCTGATCTGTGAGCCTGTCACGTGCCTTCTGTGACCTGCCTTTCATCTCCACCAGTTTCTGAAGGTAACATGTGAGTTGTGTTGGGGATGTTCTGTAGGTTCATAAATGGCTTCATCAACCGGAAGAAGCCCCTTTGCCCCGAGAACACGGAGTTTGTGAGGCTGGTGCAGTACAAATACTTGATGAAGCTCAGAGACCACGTTCCAAAAAACGTCTTGGACAAGAGCTGGCTCCAACCTCCTTCCATCCTGGAAGAGGTGAGATTTGCTGCAGGCTTGCAGCTCGAATGAGTTGTGACTAGATGTTAAGACCAACTTGTCCCAGGCAAGGCACTGCCAGGGCTGCAGCAGGAGCAGTTTGCACAACTTCACTACTTCTTCTTTGCTGTAGACATCAGAGATGCTGCAGAAAATCTGCATTAGGAACCTAGTAAGGAAATACTGCCGAGGAGTCACTGCTGAGAGGAAAGTGCAGGTAAATGATGTGTGGAATGTAAGTGTGGGAGTTGAGCCTGTGCTTGTGTGGTACCTGCTGTCTGTGAACTGCCTGAAACAGCCACTGCTCCTTCTGCTTAGCACACGTTCCCCAGCCTGGAGCTGGTGGTGTTCAGTGACACTTGCAATGTCCAGTGTCCTACAGAATGGGGGGCTTAAACTCATGGCAGTAAAACTGCACCTCTTTATGGATCTCTCCTAATGATAAATGATCCACAGGGCTGGTTAGTCCCTGCTACCCCTTTGTTTGGTGTAAAGCAACAACCTCAGGATGTTGACAGAAACACAGCATGAAGTCAGGTGGATGTTGCATGAGTAAAAGGATGATGTGCAGTGCCTGTGTTCCAACTGCTGATAGTGCTGATGGAGAAACTCCAAGAGGGTAAAGGCTGTTTCTCCTCAAAACAGTTAGAGCAAAAAGTGGTAGCAAGTGCTGTGTTCAGAGGGAAGAAGGAGGGTTACCTGCAGAGCCTCAACCAGCCTTTCATGGACACCCGGCTAAGTGAGTACAACACCAACCCCTGAAGGACTTGGCCACGTGCTCCTTGCTCAGGGAAATTCTGTTTGACAGAACAGAGGCAGTTTCTAAGAGAAACTCCCACAGGACAGAGGCAGCACCACTGGCTGTGTTCAGGCCCTACTATTTGAGCTCCCTTCCTCTGTCATCCCTAGTGATGCTACACAGGTTCATTTGCTGGGCTTTGGTCTCAACCTGAGGGTACCTGGAATCCCTCTTGGGATGACCTTAAGCCCAAGCAAAATTCCTGGTAGGCTGGGATGGATTGGGACCCTCCTTGCTGTGCTGGGTGGAGCAGGGAGGCTGAGCAGGGATGTTGCTGTGCAGCATCACCAGCTGCAGGGATCCAGTCCCGAGGACTGGAGCTGCTGGGAAGGGGAGATGTGAATCTTGGGAATCCACATGGTCAGTGTTAAGCACCTAAAAGGTAGAAGAAAGACCTGTGCAGTAGCAGAGGGAGGGATCTGGGAGACTGGGAAAGGTGTGGTAGCAGTGCTGGGAAATGTGCATCCTCAGTTTAGAGGGGCGGGCACCAAGGGGACAAGGACTAAGGGCGTGAAGACAATTAATGCAGCTCTCTGGTGTTCTGCTGTGGGAGTGGTGGCTTCTGTCACCTGCACTCAGCTTGTTTTCCTGTTTTGCTCCTCAGAAGAGAATGATATAAACCCTAAAGTACTGCAGCTGATCCAGGGTGAGAAGATCAAGGTAAGGGAAGGGCAGCTGGAGCTGGGCAGCCCTTGCACCAGCTGTGCTGGAGTCCTGGAGCTGGCAGGTCCCACAGGATGGGTGATCCATGGCACTGGAGGCTGCCTTACAGCCATGCCAACATGGCAGGGCAGTGGAGGGAACACCTCCTTTTAAATTGGAGACAGGTCTTAAAATGCACCTAGATAAAAATTCTTCATGGCTCCTTTTTATTAAAAGCTTTAAAAAGCTTCACCAACCCTCCCTGGGCTGAAATGGGCAGGAAAGGTATGTGCCCTGCTCTCCCCGTGGTTAAGGCAAAGATGAACCATCTCCAGGCATGATGGTGCCACCCAAATTGCCAAGGATGACCCAGCTGAGGATCAGCAGAGGTTGGCAGCAGCTGCTGTGAGCTGGGACCTGCAGCTCCCGGGTCGGGGCTGCCTCCCCCTGCGGCCGGGAGAGACGCTGATCCCTCCTTCCTGCTTTCAGTATGTGACCCCCGTGATAAAATATGACAGAAACGGCTTCAAAGCACGAGAGAGGCTGCTTGTTCTGACCCAGTCCTCGGCCTATGTGGTGGAAATGGCCAAGATCAAGCAGAAAATAGACTATGCCACTCTGAGAGGTAATGGGTGGTCAGTGTGGGGCTGCCCCTTCTGCCCGTGTCTCAGGGGCTGGAGGAGGGAGCTTTGGAAACTTGGGCTTTCAGAGATATTTGAAGCAATTATCTACTTGGGAACATTTTTTCCTGGGGGATAGACAAGGGGTCTGTGTTTCTGTGTGCAGTTCTCAAAGTACAAATTAGGTGTAAGAGGTCACTGTTCTTTGAAATACTCCCATGCAGGAGAGTATTGCTGCTGAAACAGAGGGGAGGGGGAAAGAACCCCTTTCCTACCTCCTTTTGTAGGTATTTGTAATGCTGTCGTTGTCTGGGCTAAAGCCTGGGGGTAGGATACAGATTTTCTCCCTCCTCCCTTACCAAAACAAAGATAGGATGGAAAGGCATGGAGCAAACAACTAATCCATAGTGTTCAAATAACCACTGTTGGAAATGTGTTAGACCAGAGTAGGACAGAGAGAGACCAACAGAACATGCTTGGGAAGGTGATGGTGGGGTGGGGGAACTGCCTTTGGCAGTTTTCCCTCTAATTCTTGGCTTTATTTTTAAGGCATTTCCACCAGTAACCTGAGGGATGGGATTGTGGTCATTCATGTTCCTGAGGACAACAAACAGAAGGTAGGAAGTTGTGAAGTGGCTCCTGTGAGCTTATGGTTAGAAACAAGCTGACACTTGTGACATTTTCCTTTGGAACACTGGGATTACAGCTACTGATGTTTGCTGATTATGTGACCATCACATTCATGCTGTCTGCCATCAAAACTTTCACTTTCATTTTTGTAGAGTTGAAGTCACCCTAAATCCTAAATAGCCCCTGGAAAGGTGTTCAACAAACTCAGCTTGTGACCCCTGTTTGCCAGGGTGGGGCTGCCATGGCTGGGATGATCCAGGAGACTTCATGTCCCTTTTTTTGGTGTGTGTTTCCAGGGAGATGTGATACTTCAGTGTGAGCACATCTTTGAGACAGTCACCAAGCTCTGCATGTTGGCCAATAAGCAGCACCTGGTGAAAGTCGTGCAGGGAAGGTAAGGAAGGGGGTGAATGGGGGTGCTGTGCAGGCTGCATTGATGGAACAACCTACTTCAAAAACTTTCAGGGCCAGACTTCCTAGGCCAGAGCTATGGTGGTGGCCCCATCAGGCAGTGCCCTGAGCTGATGAGGTCCATAGCAGGAGCATGGTTATTTTCATGGCTTCTGTTCCCAGGCACCGGGACAATGAGAGGGGATGCACGGGAATCAGAAAAGATATTTGAAGTCATTACAACCTCTTTCCCACACTAACAAAAGCTTTTTTCCACATTGGATGTGGTTGCACCTTGTTGGGCGTGCTGCTCTGCTCTGAGACCTGCCTGTGACCCCTCTGCCTAAAACCCAACCTTGTTACAAACCTCTAAATTGACTTTTCTTTAAAAATACATTTTCAGGCTTCTGCTGTGACCTGGGTGTGAGGTAGTGGGCTTAGTGGTTTCATGCCAGATCTCATTAGCAGCAGCTCTGAGAAAAGCCTGCTGGGCTGAGCCTGTAGGTCACTTCAGGATAGATGTTCCTCTCCCTAAATGATTGGGAAGGGCTTGAAATGTGATTGCTGAGCACAGGAACCTTCCAGCCGTGTCACCAAGCCCGTGGCAGGTGGATGCAGTCTGTCTCTCAAATCTCTACATAAATTGGAACTGGCACCATGAAACCTGCACTTCTGCTCCAGCTTTTCTCTCTGGCCTTTTGCATTTCAATTGTAATTAGATTCTGTGTGTTCAGTGGTTTTCTCCAGGTCAGATCTGCTTATCTTCTAGTGCTTAATTGCACCAGGAAAATTCAAATGCCCGGACCAGGCAGGCATGTTCCATTCATCAGACCCTTCTGGGTTGTGCAGTATAATGCAATTGCTGAGGAAATTTACCTAAGCTGGAGGGCTCTAATCTTCTAATCTAACAAGATTTACCAAGGGAACAGAAATGAAGGGGGCTTAGAGTAAAGCCTCTTGAGAGGAAACATCTGATGAGGAATTCTGTCTGTGTTTGCAGCCTCCAGTTTCGGATTGGCTCTGGGAAGGAAGGGACGATGGTGTTTGCTGTTGGGCAGGAGCCTCAGGTCTTCAGAGCCAAAAACGGACAACTAACAGTGGTAAGACCTCATGGGGGCACTGGGGACATGACCTGTGCTTTCTCCCTTGGTGCTCAGCCCCTGTGGAAAGCACAGCTAAGCTCTAGCACAGGCCTTTTGTGTGAGTTCAGGACTTGATTCCCCTTCCAGAGCAGAGAGGTGCAGGAGGCCACGATCAGTCAGTGTCTGCTACAGCAGGTAGAGCTAAACCTCCCTGCACAGCTCAGGGCTCCCAGGCAGCACGTGGTGAGTGTGGCTGGAAGAACACAGAGGATATGGGTCTCTGCTGCTGCCCTGGAGAGCTTGGTGTGGTGGGCACTGGCAGCTCCAGGCTGAGCCACATGCTGTGGTGCAGCCCCTGGGCACTGGTCAGCTTGGTCAGTTGTCCTTGCAGCCTGGAGGGGAAGGGACCAGTCTGAACATGCCAATTGTGAAACAGAAACAACACAACCCCTTCTCCCACAGCCAGGACTCAAAACATTGGTACCTGATTTAATTCTCTGCCCTTTTCTCATCCCAGGTGTCAACCTAGGCAAAGTCTTGATGAGAAACAGTTCCTGGTCACAGGAAGGAACCTGCAGGATCAACCAGCCCTCACGCCTCCCCTGGAATCTTTGATGCCATAGGGCTGCTGTGATTTGAGTTTGCATCTTTTAGGCTCCTTTTTTAATAGCTTGAAACTATTCAACTATAGCTAAATAAGTTCATTATCTTGCTGTAACATTTCAGTGAGCACAGATGCTCGTTACACTGTGACAGGGAGATGTTACAGCCCAAAGTTGCACTTCCACTCATCAAATGTCCTTCTCTGTGCACTTGGGAAGAGCTGAGAGCTCTGACCAGTCAGGAAGGACTGAGATAGAAGCAAAATGGCTTCTCTAGCTGCACTTGGAGTGTCAGCTCACCAGGAGAACTGCACCACGTGCAGCTCAATGAAGGTAACTCTGGTCTGAAAACACCTTCAAAACCAGCAAAACCACTGGGGAGAAACAGTGAAATGTAGCTGGTGTTTTTGTTGGTGGATCTGCATATGAAGCTGCTCATGTGGAACCTCAGTAAGCTGCTTTCTTGTCCACTCTGACAGGGGGATCTTTCTTTTTAGAGTAACACTGTCCTGGTCCTCCCCACGTACCAGCTGTGCAAAACCTTAGATGACCAAACTGTCTCCTGCTAGAGAGGGATATGATG